AAGATAAATTATGTATCTCTACAATAGAATATATGCAGTTGTAAAAGATAAAAGAAAAAATGCAAGTAAGCCCTTGAAGGGGAGATACAGAGAGAGATGTAGATGGTGAATAAAAGCAAGATGCAAGAAAATATGTAGGAAAATTTTGCTACCATTTGTATAAAACAGGAAGAGAAGATAAACATATCAGGATTGTTCTGTGTGTGCACAAAAAGTTACTAAAAGGATAATCCAGAAAGTAATGAACTACTGTTTCTAATTGGGAGGCAGGAATGGGCAGGTGGTAACTGAGCAGGGTGGTAATTTTTTATAAAAATATAAAAGTAACTTTATACTTTTTAAATGTTTGCACCGTGTGAGTGTATTACCTACTCAAAAATTTAAGAAAAATAACCATCCTCTAGTTTAGCCAAGCTAATGCTTGTGGACATTTAAAAAAATTAGTTATTAATAATCTCAGAAATAAAAGTCCCTGTCTATACGACATACCTTCCATAAGAGTTAGTATCTGTGGGGAAGAAGGGCAGTTACAACAGTCATGCATTACAGTTCAATTTATGACTGGGCTGTGAGATTAAGTGCTTAAGTAACACCTACTACCTTGATGATAGGTGTGGGGCTATGTAAATTTATCCACCCAGCTCATTCCCACTGGCATGTGGGAGGACATTTGTGAAATTCTCACCTGCTTATGGAAAGTCATTCTGCCATGACTGTCGGACACCAATGACTGTCATCAAAGCCAAAGAATTGGATTTGCAATATATGCGTAAACAAGACTCTGCTCCTCGCTTTCCATCACCGTCTCCTACACACCCTCATTTTCTCATGCTAGAATTGTCCCAGAAACCCTGTCTCTCTGCCTGCAGGTCTCCTCCTTCTCCAAGCCATCCTACATATTGCAGCCAGATTAAGGTTGCTAAATGATTGCTGTTGAAACACACTGCTGAACACAAAGCTGCCACGTGCTCCTGGGCCTGGTCTGCTGCTTCAATTCTGTCTCCACTCTCCAGGGTGCACCTCCTGCTCTGCTGGGCCAGGGCTACTTCCTGCTGCTCCCAGAGGACACATGGGGGGCCTTCCTGGAGACTTCTACCCTCAGTCCTAACTATATCTAGCCTCTTGCCGATATCTAGGTCAAGACTGGCCTCTGACTCAGACATGTTAAACACGCACACCCAACAAAGACAGCAGCAACAACAGCAGCAACAAAACAACTCTTTTGTTTTGTTTTTTTTAAAATGAGATGGAGTTTTGCTGTTGTCACCCAGGCTGGAGTGCAATGGTGCCATCTTGGCTCACTGCAACCTTGGCTCACTGCAACCTCAGCCTCCAGGGTTCAAGCGATTCTCCTGCCTCAGCCTTCCACGTAGCTGGGATTACAAGTGTGCGCCACCACGCCTTTCTAATTTTTGTATTTTTAGTAGAGATGGAGTTTCACCACATTGGCCAGGCTGGTCTCGAACTCTTGACCTCAGGTGATCCGACTGCCTCGGCCTCCCAAAGTGCTGGGATTACAAAAACAACTCTTGAGAATTGAGTGAGACTAAAGCATATTCTCTCCATGGTGACTACAAACAGCAAAGTGGCTGCAGAAGTTATTTCAACTGGGTTCTAGTTCTAGGAGTGCCGCTTCTGAGCTTTTTGACAATGAGCAAATCACATAACCTCTCTGATTATTTTCTTCCTTGCAAAAGACAACGTTCTGACTCCTGCACAGTGTTGTTGAGAGGGCTCAGCGAGGGTCTGTGAGTAAACACTCTCCAAAGGAAGATGATTCTTGCCCTTCTACTCTCTGGGTCATGCAGATATTGACTTTTAATTTAAAGCTTTACTTTAGATATTGTTAAAGTAGATGTGGCTACAACAGAAGAAAGTTCCAGCCTAACTGAAGATTGTCATGAACGTGTAGGGATTGATTTTGTGTGACTGTCTCCTTGATCTGTCCAGGTTTCCCACGCCCAGCAGGAGTATCTGGAGAATCACATCCAAACCCAGTCGTCTGCCCTGGATAGTTTTAATGCCATGAACTCAGCCTTGGCGTCCGATTCCATTGGCCTGCAGGTACTCATCTGGTTACTGCTATGACAGGGCAACCTAGCTGAATCAAGAGTGGGGCCTGTGCCTTTGTAGAAAAATAAGTCACAGAACATCCTCAGCTCATCATTCAGAATTCTTTAAGCAGAACCACTGTGAAGACTTAGGTCCAGAAGACAGTGAAGGAAATTGAATGAAGCATTTCCAATCTGAGACTTTAAGGCTTTGGTTTTGCTCTCACTGAAAAGGGAATTTAGACCCTGAGTTTAGTGTGAGAGATGTCGCTTGCTCCACCAGATACCCGAGTATTCCTCAGCATCAGTACCTAACCCCGCACATCAGCCCTCTTCCTCCAGCCCCAGTGCCACAAGAAGCACCACCTAATCACAGAATAACACAGACTTCACTAAAGACAATCTGTACTCTTTCATGGCAAGCAATATAAAAAAGGCTTGTAAACACTTTTTTATAATTAGAAATTATTTTGTATCAGAAAGAATCATGGATATTCCACGTCTTGTTGTAGCAGACAGGGAAAGAGAAAGACCCAGTATCTTATATTTGTGAAAATGCGTGTTGTTATCTTACTTTGAGGGATTCTTTTCTTGGCTGATTTGGTTTACTAGGAGCCAACCATTCAAGTGCTTCCCCTTCTTACTCTTACAAATCCCCTAACATGCAAATTAACTTGAAAATGTTCAAAACAAAGCATTGTATGTGTTTGAAATAGCTTCCCTTAGTCTTCATTTCCAAATATATGAACAATAGTTTTTACCTCTCCTCCAACTTTATTTGGCTCTTATCTTTTTATCCTCCTCTCAGAAGTTCCAAAAGCTATTTCAAATCCTTTCTGGTTCTATATAAGTAATTTATCAGATAAACAAATTTTCATGTTGGGATTCTCCACTTCCCCTAATTCTCTGATAACAGTTGGAATGGGCAGCAGTGACAACAGCAAGGCTCGGCCACTGTCCTGGAGTGAGTCTGGGTGGCCTCATGTTTGGGTTCGTCTGGGATGCCCATTTCTGGTGGGGCCTCTGAGTCCCACCCTTTTCCTGGCTCTCTTGAGTGTATGCCAGCTTTCCCCTGGCCTCAGGCCAAGCCCCACTGGTTCTGGTTTGCTCAGTAGCCTTTGTTTTCCCTTCCTCCTGTGGTCAGGGGGCTTGCCAAGGCTCCCTTTCCTCCCCTGTCGGATGCCGTCTTATTCCCAGCCCACCAGCAAGGGCTTTATCTCACCTGAGTTCAGACTTAGTTGGTATTTTTACTACATCTCTGGTTTTTCTTCCCAGAAAAAAAAATATATATATATTTGCTAGTCTTTTCTGGCAATTCTTCTGCTTTGCTCTCTGGCCAACACTCTGGCATTTACTCCAGAGGCCAGCTGTTTGACTCTGACCCAGGCACCTTGACTGATTCCTAGTTATCGTGCAGGCTCTTAGTCCTGGACAGCCAAAGGAGCCTTATAGCTAAAACCGCTGAGAGAAAGTGACAGAGACAGAGAGACAGACAGACAGAGAAAGAGAAAGAGAAAGAGAAGGAGGAGAAGGAGAAAGAGGTGCCATCTCACGGCAGGAAACTCAACATGCTGGAGGAAGAGGGCTGATGTACGATGTACTCCCACTGATGCTGATGACCACTCGGGTACCTGGTGAACCAAGTCTGAAGGTAGCTGGCTTCTTCCTTATGCAAGATCCCAGCCTCTCCCACTGGCCCACTCTACCCACTTTCATTATTATTGACAGGGAGGCCAGACCCTTGGTTTGATTCCATAGAATCAGAGCTAGAAAGAACTGAGAGGGTCTCTAATCCCTTTGTTTTATGAGTAAACAAACTGAGGCCAACAGAGAGAAATGACACGAGCAAGATGCCTACCTAGTGACAGAGCCAGGATTAGAAGAATCCTGGTCTCTTGGGCCAGAGTGTAGGTTTTTTTATGGATACAAGAGTAGCATCTGTGAAGCCAGTGGGGCTGGGGGAGTGGGTGGCTGGCCTAGGTGATTTCTAAAGCCCCTTGAAGCTCAAATGTTCTGTGACTCCATGCTTCCAAATGGCTTCAGTATTTCCTTTAGTATCTAATCACTTCCTTCAGAAATTCTTTTTCTCGATTCAAGTAGATTTAGGAGCGAAAGGCTTATATTGCCCAAAGTAGAGGCTGAGGAATTGAGGAAGCTTCAGAGACTGATCATCTAGATAAGAGCACAGAGGTGTTAGAAATAGTGCCCAACACCAGGGTTTTCACATCTTCTAATGCGAAGTTGTAGATGACTGGGGACATAGTACAAGATGCCTTTCCAGTGGCAGGGATTCTATGGAGGCCATTTATCTCTAAGGAGAGTTAACCAAGTAGAAACCAAAGCAGTAAATAGCAACACGACTTTTTTTCTTTTTATTTTTTTATTATTTTTTTAGAGATGGGGTGTTGCTCTGTTGCCCAGGCTGGAGTGCAGTGGTGTGATCATAGTTCACTGCAGCCCCTACCTCCTAGGCTCAAGTGATCCTCATGCTTCAGCCTCCTGGGTAGCTGGGGCTACAGGTACACACAACCATGTCTAGCTGGTTTTAAATTTTTTTTTGTAGTTGCCCAGTCTTGAACTCCCACCTCGGCCTCCCGAAGTGCTGGGATTACGGTCATAAGCCATCACGCATGGCCAACACTATTGATTTAAACATCCTTGCTTCAGTGTGGCCTGGAGCAAAAATCACTTGCCTGCATTACCAAATTCTGTTCCTTAGTACTTCTTTATTGCTACCCCTCTCTGCCTAAGGCAGGAAGGTGAAACATTTGCAGGTATGCGAGTATTCTCAGTCATGTTGTCACTATCCTGGCAGGCAGTCTAGAAGCACAGAAGGGATAGCTCTTTTAAGAAAAAGAGGAGGCTGGGCGTGGTGGCTCACGCCTGTAATCCCAGCACTTTGGGAGGCCGAGTCAGGTGGATCACAAGGTCAGGAGTTCGAGACCAGCCTGGCCAATATGATGAAACCCCATCTCTACTAAAAATACAAAAATTAGCCAGGTGTGGTGGCAGGTACCTGTAGTCCCAGCTATTCAGGAGGCTGAGGCAGGAGAATCGCTTGAACCTAGGAGGCGGAGGTTGCAGTGAACGGAGATCACGCCACTGCACTCACGTCTGGGTGACAGAGTGAGACTCTGTCTCAAAAACAAACAAGAAAGGAAAAAAAAAGAGGGATGTCTCTATTCTATAAAGCTCATATTTTGTTTTTTTGATTTCATTGTGGCAATTTGGGAAATACAGAAAAAATAAATAAGAAAATAGATATCCATAGCCCTATCACATAGTGAAAACTATCATTCAGATTTCTTCCTAGTCTTTTCCCCCCCAGTGCATAAACATGTATTTGAACCAATGCTTATACATAGTTTTCAAAATGGGATTGTACTATACTGTTTTCAAAGGCTGTTTTTTTTCCCATGTGAAATGATGTATTATAACACTTTTCCTTGGAAGGGCTCCATTTTAGTCCATTTCCATCCATCCTAAGCAGTGGCGAGTGGTGTTGGCAGCAGCTACGGGATGGTATGGGAGAGGCTTTCAGTCCCACCAAGCTACAGGGGCAGACCTCTTGGCCACCATGGGAGACCCGCAGTCCCTCACAGCACAGGGTCCCAGACTGGCAGCTGCTGTAGCCTAGGACAGCTACCCCAGTGGTTAATGATAAGGGGATTTCTCAGTGCGTGGTACAGCCCATGTGTTTTCACACCACCGGATCTGGTTTTGTTTTTGTTTTCATCCTCATAGAAAACCCTCGTGGATGTGACTTTGGAAAACAGCAACATTAAGGATCAAATCAGAAATCTGCAGCAGACGTATGAAGCATCCATGGATAAGCTGAGGGAAAAGCAGAGGCAGTTGGAGGTAGCGCAAGTTGAAAACCAGCTGCTGAAAATGAAGGTGGAGTATAAAAGCCTAGATTTATTTTCTATGAACCTTTCTCCTCTTTCCTTCTCCGTTTTCTCTTCCCATCTTCAGCTTTTCCATTTCCTTTTTCCATTCTCTTCTTCACTGGATTTTTTTTTTTTTTTTCTTTGAGACAGAGTCTTGCTCTGTCACCCAGGCTGGAGTGCAGTGGCACAATCATGGCTCACTGCAACCTCCACCTCCCGGGTTCAAGCAATTCTTGTGCCTCAGCCTCCCAAGTAGCTGGAATTACAGGTGTGTGCCACCACACCCAGCTAATTTTTGTATTTTTAGTAGAGAAGGGGTTTCACCATGTTGGCCAGGCTGGTCTCAAACTCCTGACCTCAGGTGATCCGCCTGCCTTGGCCTCCCAGAGTGCTGGGATTACAGGTGTGAGCCACCGTGCTTGGCCCAGATTGGGGGTGCTTCATAAATGCCCCCACTGGGCATGCCTTTCTTGGCCTCCAGTGGCCTCAAGGGCTATTTAGACACTCACCATGGTGCTGCTGTTATGTTACTGAGAAGACACTTGGGATGCCCACAGATCTGGAACGTCAGAAGCCTTGGAGATCTCTCCCTTCACTGTTTAGATTTTCTTTGAGGTCCCAAGGCCTTTCTGTTTGGCTTGACAATAAAGAGCTGAGGGACACACAATTAGCTGGTACTTGGGCTGTGACCCTTTCTCAAGAAGAAAGCTGGTGGGTGACTAGGGACACTGGGGGAGTGTCCCATTTGGCCCCCTGGGCTGGGAGCGTTCCTTAGCTGGACTTCTAGTGCCCTAGAGGCATTAGTGCCCCTCCCAAATTTAAACCGTGGATAGACTTCCTACCCAGTGACAGGAGCAGATCCGTGAATGGCTCCTGGAGGGCACTTAATAAATTATGTCTTGGATGAATTCCTTTGTATGTAAGTCTGTGGTTTTAAAATTTTGCTCAGCACAGACTCAGGCTATAGTATGGGTAGTGTATCCACATCGTTTGTTGCTCAAAGTAGAATATGTGAGGGAGTGAAAGGTGGTACTATTGGTAATTTAGTTCACTTCACAGGGGTGGGCTGGGTGGGGAGGAGGGGCTGCCGGTGCGCCGCCCGGTCTCTGTATTGCCACCCTCGGGATCTGCTGCCAGTTCCCCTGGCGTGCCACAGCCGTGGGGCAGATCATCTTCTCTCTATGTTCACTTCTAACAGGGCAGCTCTTCTTTTCCATATATTGCCTTTCTCAGTAAGAGTTAGTTTGCGGGGGTGGGGGGTGGGGGGGGAGCTTATATTGCTAAAAAAGCCTGAAATTACTGATTTAAGTATTTTTTTTCAGCTGAGGGGATTTATTCAATCATTCATTCTACAAATATTCATCGAGTGTCTACTCTATGTGTGTGTCCTGTTCAGTCCTGTTGGTTCCAGAGGTGGCCTGTCACCAGGCATCTGGGGACATCATTAGGCTGCTTGGCAATCTGGCCGCTTCCCTGGAGTCCCGGCCTTTCACTCCAGCCCACAGTTGCCTGTTGTAGAGACTGATGCTTGTTTTCATCCTGACAGTGGAGTTAAAAAGGGTTTTCCCACTCCTCCTATTTTACTCCCCAAATTGAAAAAAAAAAAAAAGCTTCAGGAACTCAGGGTATGTTACATGACCTGGAGGCAGAGTGAATGGGCCTCCAGGGACAGAGCCCTTCCAGCGAGCTGTGCGTGCACTGCAAATGGAGCACACAGCACACAGGGTCTCTCTCAGCTGGTGATAAGCTCTGTTCAGGATTTTCCACTTTGGGACTTCGTGGTGCCAACACTTGCCCGGTGATGAGAAGGGAGAAGTCAAGGGCATCAAGAGAGACTTGTCACATCTTGGAAATAAACATCATGTCACCTATTGAGGTTGTAGAATGCCTCCCTTTTCCAGAGTTTACGTATGCAGCAAACTCAGCTGTCTGCAATAGGCAATAACCTGGAAGGAGGGGATGAGAGCAAACCTTCTGCAGCATAAAATCAATGGCGGGAAGTCTGTGTGTGAGGACGTGGCCTGGCAAACGGGAGGCACCAGCCACTACCAACCTAAGCCCTGCCCACCTGCAACTCCACTGACTTTTTCTCACTTCCTAAGCCAGGCCTGCTTCAGCACCAGGAGTGCCAGCTTAGTGTTCCCCACGCTAGGCTGGAATGTTTCCAAAAGCAACATTTAGGAAAGCACAAAGGGTGTGGAAAGGGTGAGTCCAGATTTCTCCTTTGAGCTTAGCTGGTCTTACCTAGAAACTGGCTTGGCCAATGCAACTAATGAGATTGCTTAGAGTTTCT